CTGCTGAGGGGATGATGACCAGCTGGGCATCGTGGTGAACGTGTGGTACCTGCCCCCCATGTGGAGAGACAGGTAAACAACCCCCACACGCCATGGAGAGACCAGGTAAAACCCCCCCCCATGGAGAGACAGGTAAACAACCCCCCCCCCCCATGGGAGAGACAGGTAAACAAACCCCCACCTCCGCCCATGGAGAGACAGGTAAACAACCCCCCCCCATGGAGAGACAGGTAAAACAAACCCCCGCCATGGAAGGACAGGTAATTGAGACTCAAACCCTAGATCAGGGGTCGGCAACCCAAACCGCCAATGGTGGGCACCGCGGACCGTAAACAGTGCCACTTGAATCAGTGGAGCGCGTCCCCCGTTTCCACGCAGCGCAGAAGGATAACTTCTAGGCCCCGCTCCTCTTCAGTTGCCTTGCTGCTTTCCTCCGTGGAGAATTATCAACGTGGTGTGGTTGCTGCCGGAGAGCACCGGAACGCCGCACTTCAGTCCTGCAGTACCCATAAAGAGGCCGTACACATGCCGCAGTTTGGCGTGGCTGTGTCTTTTTAGTGAAAGCCCCAGTGGCGATCTGATCCATATCTGTTATCGAAAAAAGAAAAAACATGCTACCCCAGGGCGGACTTGTGTGTTCTGGAGAATCACAGAACGTCCGCTCGGTTCGCTGACGGGCGCGTCACCGCCTTTATCTGAATTGTTCTAAGACGTGCATCGTGTAAGTTGCGCTGAACAGGCCGACAGAGGCCACAGGGGGACGCACAGGGAGCCTCCCAGCCCCCCCCCACCCCCCCTTGACAGTTACGAACGTCGCACACTGATCAACATCTTTTCTTTTTAATGGTAGGCACGTCATATCAAGGTTGTGACCCCTGTCTAGATCGACCAAAAGGTTCGTAGAAAGACTTAAATCTACTCAGGAGTCTTTTCCATTAATGTACACCTTTAGTTTTCGTCCCTGATAATTACCCATCTTCCCCTGACATGTCATATTCCTTTATATGTTGTTACTTACCAGTAAATATACTAATATATATAGTGTTCGACAGTTAACCCACTGTGTCTCTGCAGGAGGAGGAGGACGCAGCTCAGTTTGCTAACAGAGTGAAGTCTGCCATCGCCCCATCAGGGGGGGCTTGCTGACCTGGACTGGTGAGGATATACGTATTATTAGCTACTATATAATGCACTAATTAGTGAATACTTCTACTCCACCTTCAATGCTGTTTTAATTTTCAATGGAATTTCATTTATTTTTAGATTTGGGGCTTTTTTAAATTGCTTATATATCTGTGGTGTGTGTGTGTGTGTGTTGTGTGTGTGGTGTGTGTGTGTGTGTGTGTGTATGTGGTGGTGTGTGTGTGTATGTTGTGTGTGCGTGGCGTGTGTGTGTGTTCGTGCGTGGCGTGTGTGTGGTGTGTGTGTGTGTGCGTTACTGCCGTGTGGGTGGTGTGTGGTGTGTGTGTGTGTTGTGTGTACATGCGTGTGCGTGTGTGTGCCGTTGTGTGTGTGTGTGAATGCGTGTGTGTGTGATGTGTGTGTGGTACATGCGTGTGTTGTGTGCGTGTGCATGTGGGTGTGGTGGTGTGCGTGTATGTGTGTGTGTGTGTGGTGTTCATGGACGGGGAGTTGAGAAAGAGGGGAAAAAAAGGGTGAAGGACTCGTTCAAGAGAGGACAGCAGAAAATAACCAGGCAATCCAATCCAGCCACCCGACCATGAGAGGAGAGGAAGCACCACACCTCCAACCCCACCGATCAACAAGAACACCTGTAAACAATCCAACATCTGATCCATTGTGGTTTATTACACCTCCTGAGAAACTCCACAAGGACCAATAAACTTTAAAAACCCATGGAAAACCCGTTACGATGTGAGAGATGATACATGTGACGGGAATGTTAACGTCTGACAAGGGGTGCAACAAATGTGCTTTCTCTTATCTAAAAACGTATGAACAAATGCCAGAGCTTGAAAGTATACCCAAAGTACAGTTTACTCAAGTACTCCAAAACGGACCAGTGACAGCTTTCAGTCCTGATGAACTAACCCTGAATGTCCAAAAGCTCCAGAGGAACAGGAATTGGACCATAAAGTCAAATGAGAAAGCAGGAAGAGGTCATGTTTTAAAGATGTGCCGAACCTTTGAAAACAGGAGCTGTCTCCTCTCTGCTGTCATCCAGAGCA